GCTTGTCGTCGAACCAGTCTTGATGTTGACGACGTACGCAACCGAGAACAGCCAATGCCGTCGCTGGACCTGGCACTTCTCACGTCGAAGATCATGCCCATAGTCCCAGGATGACGGCGGAAGCCGCACTGGCTTTCCGGCAGAAGACCCTGTTCTAGGTGATTATTCAGACGGTTGAGGAGGGTGCGAGCGAAGACTTTCCCGGCGATGTTCAGCAAGGAGAGGCCTCGGTGGCTATCGCAGATTTGGCGGTTCCCTTCCTGTTTGTATGGATACGCGATTGTACCGGCCTTCAGCTCCTGGGGGGGGGGGCTTCTCCTTGGCGCCACACCCCCTGGAAAAGCGCTGTCAGATGATCCATGAGTTGGAAGTCACCGTGCTTGTCGATCTCAGCTCGGATCGCGTCCGATCCGAGAGCTGCTGCACGGTCCTGATGGTTTCGTAGAGAGAAGAGGGCGGGTGGTCGAGGTCGACGTTGGTCTCCATTTGAGGCAGAGCTTGTCGTCGAACCAGCCCTGATGTTGCCGACGTGCATACCCGAGGACAGCTAGGTCGTAGCTGGACCGTGTCCCTCTGTAGACACCACCGGTTCTCCATGGAGACGTCCTTGTCGGTGGCGCCGGCGGCGGCTGGAAGGTCGGTTTGTTGTTGAAATAGCTCATTACTGAAATGAAAATGGTGTTCACGCAAAGATAACGAAACGATATTCGGCCTACCTGGGGTTGCTTACCTTATGGTCTCCTGCGAGGCTGTAGGCGAATCCTCATTCTGGAGATGACGAAGCGATGGTCGGTCCACGCTTTAACACCCGGGATCGCCCTTGTCACCAGGACGTCTCGTTGGTCTCGCCTCTGGACGAGGACATAGTCCAGCAAGTGCCATTGACGCGAACGTGGGTGCATCCAAGTGGCCTTGCCTCGCATCGGGAGACGAGAGAAGGTGTTGGTCAGGATGAGACGGTGCTCGCCGCAGGTTCTAGGGGGAGTAGGCCATTGCCATTGCAATTGTCGAGACCATGGGTATCCAGCAATCCTCTTCACGCTGCATGGTCTGTGTCGACGAGGACGTTGAACTCACCAAGGCCATTCAAATTATCCACGTCCGGCTCGGTTGCCAGGAAAGCGTGATACCCTCGTAGGATTCGATCCTCGCCCCGTCAGAGCTGGCCAACGATGGGTGAGCGTAGACGCTGTCGATTGTGGCGAATTAGCCTCTCTGGAGATGTAGGCGAAGACTCATCAGGCGCTCATTGATGCCCTGCGGCAGACAATGCAGTCATCCGACGACGTCATTCCGGATGGCAAAGCTGACGCCCGCGTCCCATCGTCCTGCCTTCGGGCTGCCACCAACCTCCTTCATTTGGACCGGGTCTCGCAGACTGCAGCGATTTTCACTTTGTAGAGCGCCGGTTACCGAGTCATTAGCATCGTCCTCCATTCCGGTCGGTTGATCTTCGGGTTGTCTAAAAGGGAACGAACATTCTAGGCTGCCAGAGTGAGCGGACGCAACCCACTAGTCTGGCGAGTGGGTCAGCGGCGGCGGGGAGAAGAAGGAGTAGGATGATGATGATGATGATGATGAGGAGGAGGAGGAGGAGGAGGAGGAGGAGGAGGAGGAGGAGGGCGAGAAGGAGGAGGTGGGGTAGAAGAGGGAGTGTGTTTTTTCTGTTTCGACTGTTTCGACGGTGAGTTTTTAATCTGCGGCCACGGTCAGCCTACAGACGATGCGCATTTGCAACATTTGTTTTGAAAACCTTTTCTAACCCCTTCGCACTCGCGGGGGTCAGCAGTGCTTTCACTAAATGAGGTTGCTCATTTGCGTCAGGCGGATGCCGACCTCCGTTGTGGCCCACGTATTTGTTTAATACAAGAACGACCCGAGTTAGCCTAGTGCAGCCTATAACATCGCCGTAAACTTGCGGCCTCCTGCGGTATACCAGACGGAGCCTTGTGTCGACGATGCCGATGCGAAGACCCATCCGGCCAGCGAAGTCGGCATTACCGGTCACGGAGATGCACAGGCGGATATCCTCATCTGGTTTAGTCCGCTGATCGAGGCGGTTACCGGTGTGTGGCCGTCCCAACGCGCGTCTATCTACATCTGACCTTGACGCTCATTACGAAGGTCTGTCTGCCCGGCACTCTGACTTGCGTCCACGACCTAACAATGCCCGGCCATGTAGAATCTCACTGTTTCGACACCCCCTCCCCCAGATACAGCAAACCGCAACTGCAATCTTTAACACCCCCAAAATTTGCACACTGACCTCTGCCCCTATTGCGGATAGACGACCACTAAGTCTACTGCCTGCAGTCCCACTGAATCTCCATCCCCTACCATCCAACATAGGGAGGTACAACAGCTCCCCTTCCCTCCCCGGCTCTAGATCCTAGCCTAATTATGTGCCCACCCTTCTCACAAACTAGTTGTTTGCTTGTCAGTGATTGTCCTTTCGCGCCAACCAATTTAGTCTGGCCATTTCACTTCCTCCTATGTTAATTTGGTCTGACGAAGAGGTAATAATCCCCTGAGCCGCGAGGTGCTTCTGTCAGGGTTCACGTGACCGCCGCCTCTCAACAAGTGCAATGACATCCCCACCCATATTCTGTGCTGAGACTTAGTCTGGCCAAAGTAATTAGCCACTCGGGGAGCGCGCATTCCGGTGAGGCGGGTGGCAAACCCATCATCACGCCAACATCCAACACGGGTGATGAAATTTCAGCAATTTGAAACTTGCATGCCGATCATCAACCAATTAGCGCAACAGCTAGCAACAATCCTCGATAAAGGGAAGGGCGGCTAATTATCATAGGTATGCAGTAACATGACTACTGCATCCTACAAATACTGTAACTTCCTGTGCACGAATTACCCGGCCGCTCCAGAAGAAGGTGCCCTCGGCACCCACCTCCCGCTTTTTGGCAATGCTGATGGAAAGGAGGAGGAATTCCCGCAACACCTAAGAAATCCTCGTTTACATCCAATTCTCTCAAGTATGCTGTGAGACCGTCCTCGTGAAGAGCTACACCTACTTCACCACCTGCTCCCTCCAACCGCTGCTACCTACGAGGAGGTGGGGGGGGGGGTTGGGCGTGGCAGACTGCAGATCACGTGTGCCTTCAAGTTAGTGTCGGTTTGCGTGCAGTGGGGCGGAAGACGCGTTTTCGGCACTTCTTCTGCCAAGTGCAGTTCGGCAAACTTCACTCGAACCGCCTACCCTTCTGCTCTGTAATTTGCAAGTCAACTAAACGCACTTGGAAAAAGGCAGCTAGGTGAGCGTCACAGGCTCGGCTGTTTTATGATCATCCACAGTGTGCTTCAGCCGCCATTCTGCTGGGTAGGCCATGTAGCGGTTTCGGTCGGGGAATTCCAGGCAGTAGCTCGGTTGGGCGTCACGGGCTCGGTTGCTTTATGATCGTTCACAGTGACGACTTCTCTTGTTCAGCCGCCATTTTGTTGGGTAGGCCATGTAGGGGTTTTGGTCGGGTGAATTGTGGTCGGTAGCCTGACCGCACTGAAACGTGGAGGCTGGGTTTGGGATGCAAATACTGAGGGCAAAAAGGGGTCAATTTTGGAGGCTGAATGATGAAGGGCAAGTGGCCCTGCCACGATAATACTCTTGAATTCCCCCGTCGTCAGTCGTCAGCGTGAAGGGTCCGGCATGCACCTTGCATGCCGCATACTCGTCATGGCAATCCTTCCTCTGCCGTAAAACCGAAGGCCGAAGGTGAGCGTCACAGGCTCGGCGGCTTTATGATCATCCACAGTGACGACTTTTCCGTGTGGTTCAGCCGCCATTTTGTTGGGTAGGCCATGTAGCGGTTTTGTGCGGGTGAATTCTGATCGGTAGCCTGACCGCACTGGGACGTAGAGGCTGGGTTTGATGGTCAGTGTTCGAGACTGAATGATGAAGGGTAGGTGGCCTTGCCACGATAACACTCTTGAATTCCCCGTCGCCAGTCGTCAGCGTGAAGGGTCCGACATACACCCTGAATGCCGCAAACCCGTCACGGCAATCCTTCCTGTAGCGTAAAACTGAAGGCCGAACATCTGTGACAGCTCTATCGTCGCGGACGAGGTCCCTCGTGTGCCAAGTGCGCGTAGGACCATTACTTGCTCGTGAAGTATTTTATAGTGAGACAGAATTGCACATAATCTGCTTCCCTGTCGTTGATGGCGGGACATTCAGAGTTGGTCTGGGGTGTAAACACCTACATACAAACAAGTGGAGTAGCAGGGTAGCGTTTATCTTGTTCCTTGTTACATCCGGCCCGTTGTTGCTTTTACGGTCTTTTGGCTGTCGTCCTTATCAATAATCCGGATGAGTTTTTAAGCAAATTACTCTTACCTTAAGATCATCGTCGGCTCTGAATTATTTCCAACTCTCATAACAAATGCATAACTGTACCTGCTGGCCGAATTCACTTTTTGCTCGTTCAAGTGTGCATCAAACCACCACACCCTCACTTATCTACTGAAAAAGATAACATTTTGGACGAAACCACTCCACACATGATTTCCCCCACAGCAACGACCTTGAATTTTAATAGAAGTGAAAATGCGATTCCCAATGGAGTACCGGAGCCAGATCGAGTGCACTAGCATTGAGATCCTGAGGTGAACGACGAAGCACATGCCCAGGTTTCTTGCTCCTGCCTTGCCGTATGAATATCGCCTCGGCTCACAATCTCAACGGCATCAAAGTTGAAAATCCGTCCCATTTGCGCGGAATGGGTTGCTACCGTCGATTTTGAGTCCAGCATTCTCGTGGCTAATTTTTGATCGAGCATTCGCGCTCGCAGCCGCTGGCCGGTTTCACCAACGTAGTTGCACGCTCCGCAGCTGCAATGAAGTCGGCAAGCAGGTCAGGTTTGTTTTGTTGTTGGTTTTAAAGTTTTTGGGTTTCCAGAAGGGCATTCTTTTGATGTTAGTATGGCCGTCACCAGCCGTTTTCCCAATCCAGTGACAAACAAGTTAGATGAAAGCTTTTAATTTGCACTCTGGGATTACAATTCATCCTTAAAGAGTAAGCGTAGCAAATATATTTCACTTCAAAAAAGGTTGCGTAAGCAGATTTCCCACAAGGTCGAACACGCGAGCATGGATTCCCCATACCCTGACTCTGCAACGGTATAGAGAAGGACCCCACTTAACTGTCAGTAGACTGTGGATCGTACCATACGTGATTTATGGCAAGCGGAGTTTTATGGGTGGGACAGCACGCTAGACAGTAAGCTGACAAAAGGCAAGAAAGCACAGAAATTGCCTGTATTTCTGCCGAAAGTCTTATCCTACGCCATTGTATGACAACAGAAACGAGAGCAGTAATTAGACAATAACCAACAAGTCAATTCTAAAAAATAACAAATTATGATTTAAGATGTGAGTTCGTGGGACAGTGTAATTTCTGCAACAGCCTGTAAATGTATGCCAAGATAAGACCCCATATGACACGATCGACAGTATGCTGACAGTTAACTGGGGTCCTTCTGTATACCGTTGCACCTGACTCAAACGACAGCTTTATCATTCTTGCTGACGATTCCCACTGTGCGCTCCAAAGTGCAGTATGAGCAGGAACTGTGACCTGCTCGTGAATTAGTTTGCTGTAGTAATAGACTTTGCGGCATCTACCGCACCAGGGCCAGGTATCTTGATCAAGTAGAGAAGACCGGAGGCAGGGCAAGGCACAGGTGACTGGCACGGCGTAAACCCGCGCCTAGGCGTACCATCTCACCCTTTGGTTCACAACAAAAACTATACTAAGATTTCAGACGACAAAATTTGGGGAGGCGGCAAGGAGCCCAGTCGGCACGAAGTGAGTCTGCAGCTGGGCCTGCCAACGCACCCCAAATGCTGGCATTTGTTATGGTTGCGCATTCCCGATAACGCCTGCCAGGATCCGCGTCTACCGCGTGGTCCGTTCTAGGACATACCTATAGAACGTTACTGAACGGCAACTGCAGCAAGTGGTTTAGCAATGATGATTGCGCGTACGTGATCTCTGCGAAACATGTCAGAGGGAGAAGGAGTGCTCAATAGGAGGGACGTATGTATTCCCAGACGTTGTAAAAGGCGAAATCAGCTACACGTATCCAGAGACCGGATTAGCCTATGCATGGTTGGTCTTATAATCCGTCCTCCGTCGCAGATGCTGGCTGCACGTCAGCGCCACAATGCCCATGAAACGCGGGGACAGTGTGGGTGTGCCGTCAACCCCCCCCCCCCCAGAATCCGGTCTAACCTCTACTGCGTGGCCTATTTTAGGGGCACTTGCATACCAACCGTTAAATTTTCTTGGCGTTCCTTCCAACTAAGGGCCAAAACCCATAGAGTATCAGTTCATAAAATTTACTGTTTATGTTTTTCCAGAAAAATGTTTTTGCTATTTAAGAGTCTGCACTTGATCAATTTCGGCCAGACGCTTACTTAAAGCCCTTACTCTGATCTAATAGTGATTTACCGTTGCTTAGCGCTTATGTTTTAGTACTTTTCGGTAACTGCGTCGTCGCCTGTCTGTGCATACATTTAAACGATGATACAATCACCATCACCGGAGGCGGGGCAAGGCCCAGGTGGCTGGCACGGCGTACCAGCACACCCTCTGGTTCACAATAAGCATCTTACTAAGATTTTAGACGACACCAATTGGGAGGCGGCAGGAATTTCAGTTGGCGCTGTGGGATACCACCAACAAAGACGCGCTAATCCGAAATTCTAACAGTGCGCAGCCGTTATCA